ATCGTAGTGTTAGTGGTCGCGCACTTCACGCGAATACTAATCTATAATTGGCTAAATTTAAACCCTTATATCCCAAAAACTATTGCTTAAAATAAAAATTTACAAATAACTTTTTAATTAATTTCTCGAAGACTTTTTTGCTATAATAATTTGATTCGCGAATTTCGACACCCTGTGTAGGAAGAATAAAATAAACATACGTAAATCCTATCAGAATCCGGCACTTGCCGCTTGGCTGTGGCTGGTGATGAAGCACGAGGAGCAAAAGTCGCGACTGCAAAAGTATCTGAAGAGAAAACAGCTGGGCGTGCGAATAAATGAGGACGCGATCTACATACAGCAGGTTTAGACACGATCAAGAAAGCATATCCCTGCTTCCTGTTCTCCTAAGCTTTCTAAGCACTCCGTAGATTTATATCGCACTATATCTTCCTTAGCGCAAACTCTTTTAATCTTTCGGATACCAAATGAAAGTGTAAAAATTAGACGACGGGACTGTTAAAATTCTTTTTCTTTTTTTTAAGAAAATATATTTAAAAATTTATTTTAGTAGATAATTTCCGACTCTATTTCGTAACTCGTGTAAGATAAAGCGAGTTTATCTTACACGAGTAACATTTTACATTTTCTTACACGAGTAACATTTTACATTTTCTTACACGAGCAACTACATTTTAACTACCATTTTTTAAATAAAATTAGGACTTTACAAAATAAATATTATTACTTTTTACTGATTTAATTGTGTATAATTAGAATCAACATTTAATTGTGTATAATTAGAATGGATTGTAATTTAATTGGGAATTTCTCGAGTCTTCTCGCTTGATCTTAAAGTCAAAGTACCTAAAGGTATTAATTAACATAATTCGTTAAGTAATTCAAGGAACTACAAATCGCAAGTAATTATTTGTTAGGCATTGGGATATGGCTGATTCATGCACCAGCTGAATGGTTTCCGGCCGATTGATTATCATTAGTAGACTGAGAACTTTTAGTACCTCAAGCTAGATTTTAGTACCCTGTTGGCTAGGCTTCGTCGAGTTCATTTTTATTCATTTCTTTTTTTATTTATTTCTCGTCGTTAGATCAGTTGCTGTGCTATCTGCTGTATAAGATGTTCGGGATTAAGTGGATAACCAAAGACTTAGATTGAGGGGGTAACCACTCTTGAATTCCGGTGTACAACCTGTCAGAATTTCGTTGAATTCCTTGAAGTTCGATGAATTCCGGTGAAGTTCGACGTAGTTCGATAAAAATGTAGTCCAATTTCTAAAAAAAAAAAAAGGTCATTAGTTTCGATTGAGTCTTTTGAAAGCCCTTGTTCGGACATTAACATTCGTCTTGAAGTTTGTTGTGGTAAAATTTCGCCGGTGTTTCCAGACGAAAGCCCGAAAAGTGAACGCAACCATATCCATAAAAGTCTAGTGAAGTCCGATGAATTTCGGTGAAGTCTTGAAGTCAGAAGTCCAGGTGTACAATCGTGAACAGATCGGTTGCGACACTTTTTATTTATAGGTTTCAAAACGCACTAATATTTTGCAAATGCGAATCACGATTGGTGTTATACTGTCTCTAGACTAAAGATAATACATCGTGGTTCGCATTTGCAAATTTTATAGGTATTAGATACCTATAAAATATATATTATGTATATTAGAAAGTTATAAAAAAAGTGTCGCAACCGATCTGTCCATGACTGTACATATATTTTCTGAGTGGTTCTCCCTCGACTTTATAGATTCTTCAAAAATACCATTTGACGAGATTTCTTAAATCAAATTCTGATTCAAGAACATATTATTATAAGCGTGCGATGAAAAGTACATCTTCGTAATCAATTCTCGCGGGACTTTGGTTACACCTTTGATTCCGAGACACGCTCTGTATACCGTTGGCACTGGATGGAGTGACCGAGAGTGAATTAGCTAGCGTGATCCTAATTTGCTTTTTTGTTCAAATCTAAGCGACATGTTCGCTCCTCTTAACGAAAGTTGTAAAGGGGATGATATACTATCATCGAAACTGTTCTTCATTCTCGCAATTATTTCTGTGTAGCTGCACAAAGACGAGAACATTGAGGAGGACCCAACTACTTTGAACACTACCGCCCGGCAAGAATATAGGCTGTTGACCTCCGTGAGCACGCCTGTGTTTGATCGCAGGAGCAAGCGCGAAAACACGACAGATGCGGCGAATGACAGGCTGTTCGGCGTGGCCGGCACGGATGTGCCGATCGACGACATCCGTAAGCTTACGTTGCCGTACAAGCTCGGTGTGAACGGTTACGCCTTTATTGTATCCAACAATGGTTATGTGATACTGCATCCGGATCTTCGGCCGGTTTACAAAGGCCGGCTTAAAATGAACTACAATAGCATTGACCTCACGGAGGTGGAGATACTTGATGACGGACGCGGACCGAGGTAATATTAGAGAGACACATCTTCATCATTTACTATTATAGTTTCTTTCTAAAGAAAATAAAACATATTTTTTTACTTATTCAATTATTACGCGTTTTTTTATCATTATTATCTTTTATTCGAAGTGTTTATTAATTAAAAATGGACACAGGAATCCGGGTCCTGAAATATTGAAACTGAGATCAGCGTTAGTGGATCACGAGCGAGGTAACATGACAAGGATTCCCGTGAAATTGCATTATGATGACAATCGTCGGGTCAACCTTGAGAAACGTGATTATTTTTATGCACCTCTACCCGGCACCCCGTTCAGTCTTGCAGTTGTTATACCCAATTACGGAACTACCTGGATTAAGGTAGAAAGAGTATACGAAATTATGTAATTTTACTATCCTTAAAAAATCGCATTTAAAATAATGCTTAATTAATTACACTAATTAATATAAATAATTACAGAATAAATTGCGTTGTACATAATTATAATAATTACACATACAATTATATGCATTAAAGGGTTACGCCAGGTTTTAGAACGATACCTAAAGTTTGGGATTTTTTTGTGGGTAAATGAATAATTTTATTTAAAATCTGTTTAGAGGACATTATACATATATAAGAAACTAAAAAAATATTTTTTTATTTTTTTTATGTCCAAAATGGCCGCACTGGCCTACATTTGCAAAATCCCTTTTTTTCTATCGGTGTGCAGGATTTTAGATACACGGTTTGACCTTGACAAAACACAAATATTAAAGACTAATGAAGTACGTAGGGGTTTTTCAAAATATTGATTTTTCTCAAAATGGCAGCTATTTTAAGCAAAACTTGTACTGGCAAAAAATACACATTTTTCGTAATATAGCTGCCATTTTGAGAAAAAT